CGACGTACCACACCTAATCAGTGCCGACTGTTGGTGCGGCAATGGTCTGCGCGGTTTAAACAGTTTGGTCGATGGCATTTATCGGTGTCTTTATTATTCTGGGTTGTCATGCGCATGTGAGTTTGCTTCAAACCGCTTCTTCAAAGGTCTGAAAGCTTATTAGGAGTGGGGAGCTTTTTTCAGAAATGCAGAGCCACGGGTTGCTTGGATTCTATCACGAATGCACCGAGAGATCAATACGATCAAATAACATCAGCACCGCCACAGCCAGCGTCGCGTCGCGTTTTCGTTACCCGAATCGATGGAGCTGGCAGTTGTCAGCGGTGGCACGGAGACGGAGCAAGCCGCTTTATTGGCATTAAATGAGAAAAGTTCAGCCACCGTCTTTGTTACACAAGGAAAAGTTTCCCTTGCGGAAAGAACCATGCATTAACATAAAACATTTTGAATACACAGTTGTAATTAAGTATTTGAAGTTTCACTTGTTCTTAAGTTTGTAAGTTGGAAGCAAACTCCCTGCCCCCTCTTTCCCTTCTGTCTCCCTCGATTTGACTTTGGGTTACACACTTTTTCCCCTTCAATCAGAGGTAACCACGTTGTATAAACGGGTAAACACCCTTGACGTTGTTGCCGCCGCGCGTACAGCAGTGTATAGGAATGAACGAACGTGAATAATACAACACCGCGCGTGCCACCGTGGCTGGCATCTTGCGTTGTGGCGTCAGGGTTCGCACGCTCCACGCGGTTTCTCGACTGGCGCGCATCTGGCACGGATGCAGTTCATGGCCACGCCCCGTTGTAGCATAGCCCCGCCCCCTTTGCTGGTTAGCTCCACCCACGTCTCTAACAACCAATCGTAAGTCTGCGAACGTGCACGCGATTAAACGAGTCGCAGCAGATTGCAGAGCGCATCGCGATTCCGGTGGCGTCTGTCTCTGCTGTAAGCAACCGGCTAGCGAGGGAGTTTAAACATGTTTCTTGCCAAAGACAAACGAGATCTCAACAAAATCGGCCTCACCGCCAACTCAAGTCCCGATGCCCCCTTCTGGAATCGCGCTGCCACCATCCTCGAATCTGACCCAGGTCCAGAAGGACGCTGGCGAACAGAGTGGAACGTTGGGGATGTCCAAAACAAACACTTCGTTTGACAAAAGTCGCACCTTCTGGCATTGACATTCCTCGAAGACACCGGCGTCACGATCAACCGGATCGAAACATCAACAGGCTGCTGTGCATACCTTCATAAATGGAAAATTTAAGCTATAATCCACTGTGGACATACACCCCAAACAACGGACCATATAATATAGTAAACTACTGTTGCCTGCGCTCCTTGTGCAGGATAGCAACACTACACAAACTCTCTCCTGAAGCACACTCTAAGCTAGCAGACCACGACATTGGCATTTAGCTCATGAACATATTGCCACACGCAAGAACAAAACGAACAAATCCCTCATCATAATAGTACAAATTAAAACAGTGGCACACTTTGCCACCTAAAGGCACGGTGCGAGAAATCGTCAAATAAATGCATCAAGGATCTGGCTGCTGGAAGCCCCCCCCGCCCGCCCGCTTGGAATGTTGACGTTTGTCTGGTCGTTGTGTACGCAGTTGTAGTGCTACGCTGCAACGGTTGAGCGCGTGTCCCCGTTGAGATATTTTCTCTGGCTGACCCACCGCAAAAACCATTCTCCGTCTGTTTGATGGCCGATGCAGCATTTATTCTGACACGTAATCCAAAACACTCCGTTCTCCATCTTCCTGACAGCTGCCGTACAGGAGAGTAATGCCGTTTTTTTTATTGCCCGTTTTTGTTTTTATTGTACAAGCTTTGTACGTTTCTCTCACCCGGGGTCTAAACAGTGAACGATCTACATCGAACCCAGTTTATTCCAAAATAACATATTCCGCACTGCGTGTACTCGTGTGTTTGAGGGACTGCTGATGGTCCTGATTGAATCGGCTCTTGCTGAACCAACCCATTCTGTTCTGATGCCGTCGGTTAAATGACAACCAAATGGACGGATGTTGTGTTTTTTTACAATTACTAGGCTTTTATTTATGCAGGAAAGATTCAATTAAGTCTTGGGGCTCCTTCGTTCTCTTTTTCCCAAGGAGAGGGTCCTGCTGTGGATGTCTCGACAATTGCTCATACGTCATTTTGTCCTGGAGGAAGAGAGGAGAGTTGTCTTGAAATGGATACCACTCAATTTAGTTTTCTCAACGGTGGTCAACTTATGGAGAGACTGGCCCGCGCGATGAAAATGTCGAATTTCTACCACATTCTCAGGTCCTCTGAATGGACTTTACAATCGAGGCATCGTCCGGCGTGCCACAGCACACATTGTCACGTGCTGGTGAGCGACACCACGGGGTCTTTAATGGCACACCACAGCATAGGCTCAACATAATACCCAAGTGACGTTTAGATTTGAACCTCCCAACCCTTGCAAGCTGTCTCTTTAGTGTCAGGTGTGCCGCTCACCAAGCAGTGTCTTCTGTCCTGAGTCTTCACTTGTGCGGTTCTCAGTCGCACATTTCTGTCTTCCCTGCCTCTATTGCTGTAAACTGGGACCCCCCTCATCCTGAAAAAACTCAAAGCAAGTTGCCATCATCGTGTGAAGGCAGTTATGATACGGACAAATATCCAGCTGTTGGCCAACGCGATTTCATTAACAGCGACGCCACGAAAGGTCGTGTGTAATAATGGGCTCATTTCTTGGTCATCCAATCTAAGATTAGAATTTCAACGAGTCATCTGTAGTTATTACAGAATTCACATTGGGGTAATTTTATTCAATCTACCGGTGCTATTCAGAGTGGGGTTGATTGCCTTCTGCGTAGTGGCATTCTGAATGGAGTGGTAATCGGAGTGATGGCAGTTGGTCCGTTTCAAAACTTTTTGATCCTTTTGTAAACTGAAAGTGTAGCTTTATGCACATTGAACATGCTGAATTTGTGTAGATTTAAGGTAAGTAAACACAAGTCATCACTTAATTCTGAACGTGACCTGCGCCTCACCTTGGTCAACTCAGCCTTTCAAAGGGTGGATGGATAATTTGAAGATGGCCAATGCTAAATTTGAATTCCACTTAATTTAACAGAGACTTTCTCCCCCACACAAAGGTCAATAGGTCATCATTGCCAGTGCCATTGATGTGACCACATCTTGCGATTACTTCTCTCTTCCTTCCAGGGCCAACAACTGCCGCACAGTTGACACCTCACCACGAAGGTTGTCTCTTGGTTTCCTCGCCCTAGGTGTCCCCCCTCGATATGTGGCCTTTGAATGTGCATTTCACGAACTCGATCTGACCTGTACCCCTCCATTATCCCATTCGGATGTTGGCTATCTTTTCTCAAGTGATACAGGCATTTCCAGCTCGCATAGCAACTATATTTCACTGAACAAGCCTTTGCTCTTCCAGATGAGATGAGACACTCGACAGACAGTGCCTTATTCAGGATGCGAGGACAAGGAGATGAGCCGCATAGCAAAATAACAAAGAGTGTAATGCGACACAAAACGCTTGAAGAAACATCCAAAATTACATCCTATGCAAATTAGCTTGGTAACCACACACAAACTAAGCAAGGGCCTGAAACAGCAACACAATTAAAATGAAATATAAGGCCCTTGGACCAAGAAGGTCTATTCGTGTCTGTTTTCCAACGCAGTGTTTCCTAACAGGTGAACTTTGACCTTGCAACTTTTCTGAATCAGTGTTGTAGCCTGTGAGGAAATCACACCTGGTATCTCCATTATTACAAGAGCTACGCATAACAGGTCTCGCATGCTTATATTTACACGTAATTTAATAGGTAATAAACTGTAAAATCTGTGAGCTGTAGCAATTCATAATTGATTAAAATATATTCAGAGTAGCTGCTGTCAATTTCTATAGCGCTCACATTCAATGGCATCAGTGAGCGGCGTCTTATTTCATGGCTTAATAAACCAAGCCGAGGCCAAAAATACGTTTTAATGAAAACCTCGCCATCGTCGTACGCTGGCTTCAAACGCTCGGTGAAACGTTATTTGAATAATGCGTTTAGGCTGAGTTTACGGTGCTTCTGGGGGCATCGTACGGTGTCGATACAGATGTTGACATCAAAATTGTGTTTCTGAGATATTTGCAACCGGCCTCTGCCACTTACCAGTCCTTGGACTGGTATCATCCGTCATTGCCAGAGGTAATACTGGTCAAAGACATCGTTCTGTATACTGTATATGTGTGTGTGTGTGGGGAGCTGTGGCACAGTGGTTAGCGTGCTGCGCTACGTACCCGGCGATCCAAGTTCGATTCCCATTCATGGCCTCAAATGAGTACCTGATGCGGTGTGTAAACATTGCTACAAGGCAGACAAAAGTGGCCGGACGTGGTGCTCGCCACTCAATTCCTCGTGTGCTGTGTCGGCCTTTATAGATGCTGCTCGCTAACAGAACTTTCCCCAAAAGTCTGTTAATGCTATGCGGGGAATCTTTGTCTTTTTGGAGGAGTCATATTGTAGTGCACTGCACTACAATCCTAGAAAAATTGGTTTGATTCCTGGCCATGTCCATCAGTGGCACAAGGTGTTAAAAACTAGTCGTGGTGTATTCGCTACTTTCACTCAGCCTTAAATTGAGCCAAAGGTGTCTCGGAGCGTTGTCAACTCATGTTTCAGATGGCGTTTGAAATAAGCAACAGGTTACGATTGTATTGTTAATGTAAGCCATTCCCTGGCATCTGGGGTGGGAGCTGAGTGGAGTCCACCCATTCCATCAGAAGACTCGAGTCACCAGCGATACGCCTGATGGTTGGCACCTCACCACATTCTCACTTTGACGAGTCATTGATCTTCCATTCATGGAAGAGTTGTTTGCAACACAAGCTCCCCACGTGTGCTGTGTTGTCACGAAGAGGCGCTCATGCAATGTCCGCAAGCCCCTGCGGTCTACAAGACTTAGTGTGTCGTCTCTGTCTCCGTACGTTGGTGCGTGCGTGCGTGCGCAGGGCCCTACAGAGATGCACATCCAGCTCATCATGGAGTCGCTGCTGAGGACCGTGAATAGAACCGTCATTGCCATGGACCACAACTCCCTTCTCATGGTGAGTTTCGGGCGCCCCCCTCCTCCTCCTCCTCCTCTTCCCTGTGGCCATCAACTTATTTTAATCTCTGCCAAGTGAATCCGCGTTCAGTGCAAATATCTCGCGTGCTCGTACCTTGTGGTTGCTTGTTCGGCGAGAGCACAAGCAACAGAATGCTCACGGCGCTGGAAACACATTTGTTCCTGTGAGATGAATGTACATAGCACGTATGTGTATGCGTATGTGTGTCGATCACCATGGTTCGTGAATCCATATCGTCTTGGTCTATCATGTGACCACCTGCCAGCGATTCTGCGACACACTTCCATGTGGCCTCAAAGTGTACCTAGCCAGACGCAAGCACCGCGGTGACGTAGCCACCACTTAGTGGCACTTGCAGGCTGCCGTGGTTGTTTTGTCTTTATGCGTGGGAGGCATTGGACATTAACATTGCACATCATTCAGTTAAATATTGAGGTTCATAGAATATGGTCAGCCTTAAACTAATGTGACATCTTGGATGAAAAACAGGACAGTGCACAGGACGTATTGTACACAGTGTATTGGGAATGTGTGGTGAGTTTTTTCATCAACAGATTTCAATAAATTTTGATTTAAAGCTTTCGTGACTGCAGTAATTCATATTCTTAGCTCTTTCGGTAAAGTCACGTTGAAGGGAAACAATAAAATAATAAAATATATATAAAACAATAAAAAATTATCACGACGTTTCGACCATAACACAAACGGTCGTCATCAGGTGTGTCGGTTATTTTATTGTTTCCCTTCAACGTGACTTTACCGAAAGAGCTAAGAATAAGATTTCAATAATGTACGTTTGAACTTACATGACTGTGTTTGTATGCATACTTGCATATGTAAAGAGCTAAGAATAAGATTTCAATAATGTACGTTTGAACTTACATGACTGTGTTTGTATGCATACTTGCATATGTAAAATAACTGTGTATAGTGCATGCATGCACTTTTAAAGGTGCTGCACGTATGGTGATTTACACAAGACAAAGGCCCCGTAGAGCCTTGACAGGCTTTTGGGGCGTAACCTTATTTTATCTCTGTTTTGCATTTAATTATTTTTAAAAATCCACAACTCTTCGATTTCAAAAAGTCGCGTTGGCAGAGGTAAAGCTGTCGTAGAGAGTTTCCTTCCAGACAGAGTTTATAAAAGTACGGTACGTTCAAAAATATATGTATATTAACGCCGCCCGTAAAATATTGAAACGAGCATATGCGGCAAGCACGGTCGCTCAGGGAGCACCGGCCCAGGTGCACGCCTACCCAGGCTTCCAGGCGGGGCACCAAGACAGCTTTGACAGCAGCTTGTATCCCCTTCGTTGAGCAGCTGACGGAGGGCGCTCATTATGAATGCCCCCCTTTCCAACCCCTCCTCCCTCCCCCGTGTACGTGCGCGCGTGCGTTTGTGTCTGCTCGCTGGTGGGCAGGAGGCAGACACGTACCAAATTTTCCCTGGCGTGATAACAGACAAATTATTTCAGCTGATGCAGCAAAGCCCGTCAGCTGAGGCGATATTGAAACATAAGTGACCTTGTCTTTCTGCGCACCCATTCATTGCCGTTTTTTGACACGGCAGGAGGTTTTCTTCGCGTTCATTGCTCACGAACAAACGCCGGCAAATGTCTGCCGTGCTCACATCATTGCTTTGCTTTGCCCAAAAATTTTAAGTGACCATCCAGCTATGAACAGCTTTTAGCGATTCATGTTCATGGTATTTATTATCGTATTTTACACTTCCACCTCAAAGTGGAATTCCCGTCACTTGTTCTAGTCCTATCAGTGGCTCCTGTTTGAGGAGGGGGGGGGGTGTACTCTGTGATCAACCCACGCTCTTCACGATTGTTCAGTGACAGAATTCAATGAATATGAAGCACTTGGACACTGGTTGTCCTATTCAGAGACTGTTCCCCCCACTAAAAGGACGTTGACTTTCAACAACCGTCTCCAGGCAAAGGATGGAGACGAGCGTCGCCTCGTGCTCACTTGAGAAGGAGGGAGATACTCATAGATTTTATTTTAAATTCTAAACTTGCTTAACTTGTTTAACGCTCAACCCTAGAGCGTTGCTGTTCAGTGTGTGTGTGTGTGGTGATGCACGCGTGTAACTTGTGTGTATGCGTCGGTCCGTGGTGGGTGGTAGTGCAATGGTTAGCGCGCTGCGCTACGAACCCGGCGACCCGAGTTCGATTCCCGTTCACGGCCAACACCAGTGGCTATTATATGAATCGGTCCTGGGCCTCCCCTAGGTCGCCTCAGCCTCAAATGAGTACTGGGGAGACAAAGGCGGCCGTGCGTGGTGCTGGCCACCCATCCCCTCGTGCGCCGTGCCGGCCTTCGTAGGCATTCATCTGACGGCACTTGCCCCAGCAGTCTGTTACGGCTATACGGGGGGATCATTGTCTTTGTATGCATGGGTCCGTTGCACGTCGTGAATGCGTGTGGCAGGTTAGCCAGGTGAGGACCCAGAGCGAGCACCTGTTGCTGCTGCCCTCCCTGTGCGGCTGTCCTCAATAAACCTTCACAAAGCAGCGCTAGGTGCTGCCCGAAGGGAGAGAAGATCCTTCAGGCGCCCTGTGGTTGCGAGTGCTTGGCGTCCACGTAGAACGTCTGCGTGGCTTTGGCTGAAGGCAGAGGGAGTGGTAAATGTTCCTTAGCAATGCTTAAATATTAGGTGCTGCAGTGTGCGTGCTCTGCACTTTGGTCACGTCACGGCGTTGAATCATAATGATCATAGGGACATGAGCCCAAATCCACGCCGACTAAATACCAAATTCTTCCTGGGTAATTGCAATGAGCACCATTATGTGGCGAGTCAGCAGTGGTTTGATTTTTCGTAACAAATTGGTCCCTGCCAAATAAATTTGGCATTTCTACCACCAGCTCTCAACCGCTGACCTAATGCTCATATAATCTGTACCTTTTTAAAATTTGTCATAACCTATGTGTGTGTGTGCGTGATTTAATCTCTTGTGTGTATTCTTGATAGGTCTTCATTGTGATAATGTGCAACTTCCTCCACTAGCGCAATACCGATGGAAATAATCACTGCCCAATAATGTGCCTTGTGTTTGACTTCATGGCGTTCAGCCGGGTTCTTTGTTTCCAAAACATTTTGTAAAACTCAATACGTGTAATCACTCCCCTGATCTGTAACTTGAGTTTTATCGGCAAGCCCTTATTATTCGCGGGTGTCATGTGAACTGCGATCCTCTCCATTGCTCACAAGACCACGAGGGTTCGCAGGTTAAAGAAAGCGCTCGGAAAGGTCGCAAACTTCATCTCGGTTACCGTCGCGGAGACCAGTCTCTGCCATACAAATCTCGAATTGTCACTCCCTGGCAAAGCCTGCCTTTGGAGGCCTGTGCCTCCCAATGCACCCGTATTGGGTGGAAATATCCATAGTGTCGCTTGTCGAACCGTCAAATGGCTGCAAATATCTCACAGCACCCCGCTGCACAGCGTTAGTGTTCTGGCGGAGTCTTTATCTCATCCTGTGCGGGGCTGCGAGGGGAAACGAGATTGAGAATCAGAGACGGCCTTAGATTCTACCGCCAAGGCTTCATTTGTTTTAGCTTTACCTTTTCTTAGTTGTGTTTTTTTTCCTTTCCTCATCAGTAACCAAAGGTAATCAAGGTCTCTCGTCTAATTTGCACATTAATAAATGGCTCATTTGCACATAAATAGGGTGCATTGTCCGTCAGGTATGTGCACGGAGCAAGCCACTGGGCGCACGGGGAGTTCCTTGAAGCCTGGGCGGAGAAGCCCTCCCCCCGCAGGGGCTCCGCCGAGTCATCCCGAGCGGGCGGGAAAACAAAGGCAGCAACTCAGTCCGGTGGAAAAGGTTAACCAGTGGGCCGTGCAGCCGGACATCTCGCGTGTCGGTGCACAAAGCCCCCGCAGGGGCCTAGTCTCCTGGGTTCATCTTCATTGTTAACCACCCAAATGTATGATTTATGATTCTGTGTGCGAGCATGTGTGGGAGAGCAGCAGTGTCGTGGTTCGCGTGCACTGCGTTACGAACCCGGCCACCCCAGTTCGATTCCCGCTCATAATTAGAATAATTATAATCCCATGAGCTATGAAGTAATTTTTCACGAATGTCATGTAAAATCGCGAATGACCAATAACAGCGGTGAAAATTTTAACCAGTCCTGGGCCTCCCCTGGATCTACTCAGTGTTGAGCGATTCCCAGGAGCAATGTGTAAACATCGGCACTTGTGAAAACGTGTGGTGCTTCCAGCAATTTCAGTTTGTAAAGAGAGAATGACTTGGAGGCGTGAGGAACAACACACAGGAGGGGAAAGCGTCATCCAGGCCGTGAACCGGTGCCAACATTTGTCCAAGCTCTGCGGTCCATTATGTTTTCAGATTATTTCGGTCAATTAATGTTTACATGTGGGAGGAAAGCAGAGCACCCCCGAGAGAAGCCACGTGTGCAATGGGGCAAGACACTATCTCATACAGAAGGAGGAACAGGTGGAATCCACAACTGCTGTACCACATTCTGGAGGCAAGCCCAGGGTATGGCACCTAGATGCCCACGGGAACAACATGTGTCTGTGCGATCCACCAACCCTCGACTCCGCGGCGCTGGATTACAGGCGTGCACCACCACTGCCTGACAAGTACAAGTTAGGAATGTCATTGCTGGATCAAGTTACTTGGAAGTTAAGAAAAATAAATGATATTAGATGTCATCAGGAAGATGAGGCTGCAATTCTTTGACATTGCAATAGGCACCCAGTCATTAGTGACCAACAAGACCTGCATACAGCCAGGTGTTAGGGTGCTGTAACACTACAGGAAGTAAAGTGGTGACTGCACAACAGTCGAGGTGCGGTGGCTTCAGTGGCACTGGCCGTGATGACACCTTGATCTTTATTGACTTGCTGTGGCTTTATACGCTGTCTACATGTGACCGCATCTATAGGTGCCGTCCACAAACGGTGCACGCTTCTTTTTGTAAGAGGCGTTCTTGAGTCGA